AGCCTCCTGAGTAGCTGGGATTACAGGCGCGCGCCACCATGCCCAGCTAATTTTTGTATTTTTAGTAGAGACGGGTTTCACCATGTTGACCAGGATGGTCTCGATCTCTTGACCTCGTGATCCACCCGCCTCGGCCTCCCAAAGTGCTGGGACAGAGTTTTTCTTATAGTTAGAGTTCAGCAGTGCTTTAACATTGTCTAGCCGGACGCGGTAGCGCGTGCCTGTAGTCCCAGCTACTCGGGAGACTGAGGTGAGGATCGCTTGAGCCCAGGAGTTCTCGGCTGTAGTGCGCTATGCCGATTGGGTGTCCGCACTAAGTTCGGCATCAATATGGTGACCTCCTGGGAGCGGGGGACAACCAGGTTGCCTAAGGAGGGGTGAACCCGCCCAGGTCAGAAACGGAGCAGGTCAAAACTCCGGTGCTGATCAGTAGTGGGATCGTGCCTGTGAATAGCCAGTGCACTCCAGCCTGAGCAACATAGCGAGACCTCATCTCTTAAAAATAAATAAACAACTTTGGGAGGCCGAGGCGGGTGGATCAAGAGGTCAGGATATCGAGACCATCCTGGTCAACATGGTGAACCACCGTCTCTACTAAAGATACAAAAAATTAGCTGGGCACGGTGGCATGTGCCTGTAATCCCAGCTACTCGGGAGGCTGAGGCAGGAGAATTGCCTGAACCCAGGAGGCGGAGGTCGCGGTGAGCCGAGATCGCGTCATTGGACTCCAGCCTGGGTAACAAAGAGTGAAACTCTGTCTCAAAATAAATAAATAAATAAATAAAATAAAATAAATAAATAAACAAAGAATATTGTCTAAAAACTGTGCTCTAAACTTGAGGGCAAGAATCTCCCTTTCATCTTGTAACTCTCCCCACCACAAGACCCCGTAGGGGCTATTGGTCAAGATTCTGCAAGTTATTATCTGCCTATCCAAAGAGATCCTATCTTATGATTTTCTAGGATCTTTTAGGTCAGGCGGTTTACAAAAGAGTATACCATGCCGGCTCTTTAGTATCCTATGGCAACAAGGAAAGGAACAGGAGGCAGTTATATTTGCAATAACAAAAATGCCATGGGAAAATTATTACTGGGCTGTAAATAATTCCGGCGTAATAAAGTGTGTATTGCCTATGCCAAAAGAGGGGAGATGTTAAAATTTCCAAGAATTGTGTTTGAGGGAAAAGTGCACTTTGTTCCTAGTAATATTAAATAAATCATGTGAAAACATACAAAAAATTATTTTTAGGCTAATAATTCACACATATAGCACTGTCACTTTCCACCTGATGATGGGCAATCAGCAAAAGCAGAAATTTTTTTTTTTAGGTGAAAGGGACCTAGAGCCCAGCACCAATTCTAAAGAAGGAAAGAACTGGTATTGTTCCTAACCGTAGATCTCAGCCCTCCAATTTCTAAAGGAAGTGATACTTTGATTGGTAAGAACATGACATACTGAGTCACATAGAGCCTGAGGTCTTAGAAAAATCTTCCATTCGGACAGGCAAAGTGGCTCACACCTGTAATCCCAGCACTTTGGGAGGCCTAGGCAGATCACGAGGTCAGGAGTTCGAGACCAGCCTGGCCAACATGTGAAGCCCTGTCTCTACTAAAGATGCAAAAATTAGCCAGGCGTGGTGGCACATGCCTATAATCCCAGCTACTCGGGAGGCTGAGGCAGGAGAATCACTTGAACCTGGGAGGCAGAGGTTGCAGCAAGCTGAGATTGTGCCACTGCACTCCAGCCTGGGCAACACAGTAAGACTCCATCTCAAAAAAAAAAGAAAAATTTTCAACTCATGATTCCTCCTGAGCCTGGCTGCGTGCCCTTAAACAATAGTAATCATGAGTTTCTTTCATCCCTGGAAGCCCAAGAAACAATTACAAGGCCTCAGAAGACCAGTGACGAAAGCACCAGGTTTCATTGCCTTTGGGATTTATGGAAAGAAGAAAAGGGCAGTGGGCTACTTCTCAGTCACGAATTACATCTGTCAGGGCTAGCTGCAGTTAATGGAAACCACTTAAGTAGGAAAGGCTTTAATACTGGGGCTTAATGTGCTTACAAAATTTTCTTTTTTTTTTTTTGAGACGGAGTTTCGCTCTTGTTACCCAGGCTGGAGTGCAATGGCGCGATCACCGCAACCTCCACCTCCTGGGTTCAGACAATTCTCCTGCCTCAGCCTCCTGAGTAGCTGGGATTACAGGCACGTGCCACCATGCCCAGCTAATTTTTTTGTATTTTTAGTAGAGACGGGGTTTCACCATGTTGACCAGGATGGTCTCGATATCTTGGCCTCGTGATCCACCTGCCTCAGCCTCCCAAAGTGCAAAGGCTTGAGCCACTGCACCCGGCCTGTGCTTACAAAATTATTGGAAGTACTGGAGAAAGAGGGTCTCTGTTTTATATCAGAAATGGCTCCAAGAATGAGGCTGCTAAACTTACCCACCAGGAAAGCTTCAGAAAGGTGAGAAATCGAGACTATATTGCTGAAATTGTTGAGGAGGAACACATGCCCCTGCACTGACATGGGTATGGAAAGAAAAAAAAATAAAGAAAAAATGGAGAACTTACTGTCCTGGTTTTGATCAAGCAATTGTGCGGCTACTGTTAACAGTCTCAGCAGCTTTCAACAGCCATGAAACTAGTGCATAGACATTGGAACACTGCTTCAGAAAAACCCAACCTCTCATGATTCTGCTGACCTGCAGCAACAGCCAAAGCAGCCAGCAGATGGCCCCAGCCCGGCTTCCACTTTTCACATTTCTCATGTGTGCAAATATTGATAGATCCACAATTTACAACTAGAATCCTAGTTGCAATAAAATCTAGAAAATACGGTTTTTTGTTTTCCAGTCTCTGCAGAGGAAGGTATATAAAAGGAAATAGAAAGTCTGTCACCCATATTCACTATGAGAATATATGGATCTACATTTAAAAGACTTCCCTCCAGGGTGTGATGGCTCATGCCTGTAGTCCTAGCTACTCAGTAGACTGAAGTGAGAGGACTGCTTGAGCCTGGGAGGTCGAGGCTCCAGCGGACCTGTGTTTGTGCCTCTGCACTCTGACCTGGGTGTCAAAGTGGACTCTGTCTCAATAAATAAATAAATAAGCTGGTGTGGTCCCAGCTATACCAGCTACACAGGAGGCGGAGGTGAAAGATTCACTCCTCCACTCCAACCTGGGTGACAAAGCAACACCATATCTGAAAAAAAACAAAAAACAAAACAAAACAAAAATTCCTTAGTAACAAATAGAATGTAGAACAAAGCTAGAAAACGAGTTTTCAAAGAAAAAAAAGAATAAAATAAAAAATAATTTGTTTTAAATAAAAAGAACGTAGAACAAAACAAAGAATCCTGAGCCAGAAGCAGCATAAGAACGAAGCAAAAGTCTGTTCTAAACTTTTTATTTTATGAACCAGTGGGGAAATATGAGAGAGCACAAAACTTTTCATATTTTCAGGTAAAGACATTAATTACTAACTACAGTCTACTATGCCCATCATGTTATAAAAGAATCAACATTTTGATATTAATTAATGCCTTCCACCAGAAAGACAGAAAGGTTATATAGTCTCAGGGCTGGGTGCAGTGGCTCATGCCCATAATCCCAGCACTTTGGAAGGCTGAGGATTGCTTGAGCGCAGGAATTCAAGACCATCCTAAGAAACGTGGTGAGACTTGTCTTTATAAAATAATACTAAAAAGAAAAAAATTAGCTAGGTGTGGTGGTGATGCCTATAGTTCCGCTACTTGGCCAACTGGGGTAGGACAATCTATTCAGCCCAGAAGTTTGCACCACTGTGGATCATTCATTTATTCAGTGCTTCATTCGTTCAGTGATTTATATCTGATGTGTGAGAGAATGGGAGTAAGGCCAAGTGCCTTTGGCAAAATACTCTTATTAGTTTTGTCCCAGTTTAATACACAGACTAAATTTAGAATTTCCATTGATTTTTTTTTAAGAAGAGTTAATCTTAGGCCGGGTGCGGTGGCTCACGCCTATAATCCCAGCACTTTGGGAGGCCGAGGCGGGTGGATCACGAGGTCAAGAGATCGAGACCATCCTGGTCAACAAGGTGAAACCCCGTCTCTACTAAAAATACAAAAATTAGCTGGGCATGGTGGTGTGCGCCTGTAGTCCCAGCTACTCAGAAGGCTGAGGCAGGAGAATTGCCTGAACCCGAGGTGGAGGTTGCGGTGAGCCGAGATTGCGCCATTGCACTCCAGCCAGGGTAACAAGAGTGCAACTCCGTCTCAAAAAAAGAAAAGAGTTAATCGAGCTGGGCATGGTGGCTCACGCCTGTAATCCCAGCACTTTGGGAGGCTGAGGCGGGAGGATCACGAGGTCAGGAGTTCAAGACCAGCCTGACCAACATCATGAAACCCATCTCTACTAAAAATACAAAAAAAAAAGTGTTAATTTGAGTTAATTTTACAGGTAAATAAATAGTACCTCACTTTTTTTTTTTTTTTTCAAGTGCTCAGCCCTCTATTGGAGATTCTGCCTCCCCTGGAACAGATGTCTTCTTGAGCACAATCCCAAGGTGTGTGGCCGCTCTGGGTGGGTTTGCACTGGTGGCCTGGGTTTGGGTGGGGATGCATGTGAAGTGGTATTGGATCCCATGTCTAAGGGTCCCTTCCTCCTGCTGGCACCCAGGACCCTTTCCTCCTTGGGGAACAGCCCAGGAATGGGCTCTCTTGGGGGCCTTCCCTCAGTGCCACCAGGTCCTGCCCTCCGGCCCAGCTCTTCAGAAGGCGGCCTTTCCTTGGAGGGGTCAGAGACTCCAGCCCAGGGCTCTAGGGTCACGGTGTGAACATCGACCTCAGTCCTGCACTTCGCTTCTCTTGGCCTGATTTCTCCACTGGGAGCTGGCACTCTAAGCCCTCAAATGGAGGATCCTCTGAGAGAGGCCTATGGGCAGGGAGCTGGTACAGAGCAGTGTGCGCTGGGAGGGGTGACCGGTGGGAGTAGAGGGCTGTGGGTTGGCTGGAGTGTCCTAGTCATCTTTGTCCTTGGAGCCATGTTTGAGGATGTGGGTGAACGCCACCTAGTTGAACTTGCCCTTCTTATCATTGGGTGCCTCCCGGTACATCTCATCCACTTCCTCGTCTGTGAAGCTGTCACCCATGGTGGTGAGCAGCTCCCAGAGGTGGTCCTCATGGAAGAAACCTGAGGCTTCCTAATTGAAGCAGGCAAAGGCGTTTTGGATCACATCCTTGGGGTCCCTGCCGTTCAGCTTCTTCCCAAACATGGTGAGGAAAGTGGTGAAGTTGATGGGCCTTGGGGCCTTGCTTATTATACTCTCCAGGTATTCATTCTTGGGGTTCTTCCCCGGTCAGGCCAGCTTGTCCTTCAGGTCCCCCTTGTGAACGAAGCCTTCACAGTTCTGGTCAATCATGTTGAAAGCCTCCTTGAACTCCTGGATGTGGAACTGGTCAAACATCGCGAAGACATTGGATGTGGCCTGCTCTGCCCGCTTCGTGGTGGTCTTGGCTTTGGCCCACTTGCTGGACATTTTGGCTTCAGGTGGGTGGGGGGCTTCACTGGGTGCTTGGAGCTCACTGGTCATAGTACCTTACTTTTTTTGAAAAGTATAAGTATTTGAGTTAAAAGAGTTGTGAGGTTTTTCGGTTTGGCTTTATTTGTTTTTCCCAAGTGAGAATGACCTAGAAGATAAGAAGTAGCTGACAGAGGAACAAAAAGAGTGAGGTTGGGAGTGGGAAGGTAGCAGAGAGAAAACGAAATACAGAGGATGTGGAACAGTGATAGGGACAGTCTGTCCTAATTCTCCTCCTCCTCCTAATAGACTCAGGAAATAATACAGGTGTTTAACAGAACGTATCTCATCAGAGCCTCAGAAGTTATCAGTCCAAGTCAGGAGAGCTGGTAGAGGAGGACACAGACTCAGATTTGATAACTGGTTAAGCAGAATCATGATTTCCAACTTCACTGCGGCTCACTGAAGCAGTTCAGGCTACGGTGATGCTGTGAGGAGAGGTGGCTTGTTCTAAATGTTTAAAAAAAATTTTTTTTTTTGAGACAGAGTCTTGTTCTGTCACCAGGCGCCGGGCTGGAGTGGAGTGGCACAATTTCAGCTCACCGCAACCTCCACCTCCTGGGTTCAAGCAATTCTCCTGCCTCAGCCTCCTGAGTAGCTGGGACTACAGGAGTGCGCCACCAAGCCCAGCTAATTTTTTTGTATTTTTAGTAGCGACGGGGTTTCACCATGTTGGCCAGGATGGCCTCAATCTCCTGACCTCATGATCCGCCCACTTTGGCCTCCCAAAGTGCTGGAATTACAGGCTTGAGCCACCGTGCCTGGCCAGTGTTTTAAATTTTATATGGCAAGATAAACCACATTAAATCACATAATTTTTTTTTTTTTTTTAAGACGAGGTTTCACCATGTTGGTCAGGCTGGTCTTGAACTCCCGACCTCAGGTGATCCGCCTGCCTTGGCCTCCAATGTGCTTGGATTACAGGCGTAAGCCACCACACCTGGCCTAAATCACAGAATTTTATGACAGCAAGATTGCCTAATCCAATCCCTGCTAATTTTGCAGATGGGGAAACTGCTAGTTGGTGGCAGAGAAATGACTTAAAATACAGGAGAGTAGTTTTTTTTACCTTTCCTTCAGCTATCTCTCCCCAGAACCCTTATTTGATAGAATACTTCTCACTGGCTACTGAATGAGTGGAATGAGCCTTGTTGAGGATCCCAGAATTGAGTTTATCTAAAACATCATTAGAATTACATGAATTTTCACTTTCTTCCACAAGTGAAGCATCCATTGGCCAAGGGGCTAAATCACAGTCTCTTCCCTGAAGGACCTTAAGTAGATGGAGTAAATTAATAACTAGTCAATTACAATTTACAGAAAGTAGTACCTTGAAGAGAAACTGGAGAGTCAATTCCTAGGATAGTAGAGAGATGGGCAGCAGACAGAATGAGAGTATTAAAACTGATGTCAGATATCAAATTGGTTCGTCATGGTTGTGCTAATAATCACGGTATCTATCATCTTCCTAAACTTTTCTTGTCTTGCTAATGTGTAATATACATGAGTGGTGATGAGAGAGACTATTCCAGCCAATAGACTTGATACATTCCCAAATTCTTTTTATTCATAAGTAATTACAATTAGCCATTTGTGGCCTTTTGTGCTTTAATATTATCAAGAACAGTGAGAATGATAAAATATTTATGATCAGCATTGTAACGCAAACAGGTCTAATTTATAAGTAAAAATCATACACAACTGGTTTTCAGGGAATTTCCTTAAAAGGAATCATGGCTATACAGGTGTGAAGAGTAACACAGAGTAATATATGAATGCACACAGTAATCACTATTTTTATAGAGCAGACTATAGAGTGTAACTGAGGCATCGTACTTGCTTATTCTTTTTAAAATTTATTTATTTATTTATTTTTTTGAGATAGAGTTTTGCTTTTGTTGCCCAGTCTGGAGTTCAATCTTGGCTCACCACAACTTCCGCCTCCTGGGTTCAAGCGATTCTCCTGCCTCAGCCTCCCAAGTAGCTGGGATTGCAGGCATGTGCCACCATGCCCAGCCAATTTTTTGTATTTTTAGTAGAGACAAGGTTTCTCCATGTTGGTCAGGCTAGTCTCGAATATCCGAACTCAGGTGATTTGTCCACCTTGGCTTCCCAAAGTTCTGGGATTCCAAGTGTGAGCCACTGCGCCTGGCCTATTTTAGTTCTTGTTTCTTTTTCTGACACTGAGTTTCAATCTTGTCACCCAGGCTAGATTGCAATGGCACAGTCTTGGCTCACTGAAACCTCTGCCTCTTGGATTCAAGCGATTATCCTGCCTTAGCCTCCCAAGTAGCTGAGATTACAGTCATGCACCACCACACCCAGGTAATTTTTTTGTATTTTTAGTAGAGACGGGGTTTTACCATGATGGCCAGGCTGGTCTCAAACTCCTAACCTCAGGTGATCTGCCCGCCTCAGACTCCCAAAGTGCTGGGATTACATGCATGAGCCACTGCACCAGTCCTGTACTTAGATAATTTGAAAAGATCCACAAAAGGTATTAAGCAACATATGAGTGGGCCGGGCATGGTGGCTCATGCCTGTAATCCAAGCACTTTGGAGGCCAAGGCAGGTGGATCACCTGAGGTCAGGAGTTCAAGACCAGCCTGAGCAACATGGTGAAACCCGTCTTAAAAAAAAAAAAAAATAGGCCGGGCATGGTGGCTCACACTTGTAATCCCAGCACTTTGGGAGGCTAAGGCGGGTGGATCACGAGATTAGGAGATCGAGACCATCCTGGCAAATATGGTGAAACCCCATCTTTAAAAAAAATTTTTTTTAATTAAAAAAAAGAAAAAGAAATAAATTAATTAAAATTAAAAACAACAACACAAAGTATGAGCCTTTGAAATGAGTTGGAGGGTAGGAGAGGCAGCATCTGGTGGTTAAATTACATAACGCCTGAAGTGAAGGCTTTGCCACATATGATCACCTCTGGAAAGACTTTCTTTTTTTTTTTTTTTTTTTTTGAGACGGAGTTTCGCTCTTGTTACCCAGGCTGGAGTGCAATGGCGCAATCTCGGCTTACCGCAACCTCCGCCTCCTGGGTTCAAGCAATTCTCCTGCCTCAGCCTCCCGATTAGCTGGGACTACAGGCACAGGCCACCATGCCCAGCTATTGTTTGTATTTTTAGTAGAGACGGGGTTTCACCATGTTGACCTCGTGATCCACCCGCCTCGGCCTCCCAAAGTGCTGGGATTACAGGCGTGAGCCACCGCGCCTGGCCTAGAAAGACTTTCAATAAGCTTATTTTCCAGGAACTCACTGGCATCTTGAATGCTTGGCATCTCAGACTCTAAGATTTTTTCCTCAACATTTTAATAGTCACACATAGAGAAACAGAGCATGCTTAGTGAAGAGAAGCACTTGCTCTTCCTTAGCACATTTTCCAAAAGATGTGTCTTCTGTAAAATCTAAAAAATAAGTCAATAGTTTTTTTAATCTTTTTTTTTGTTTGTTTGCTTGTTTGTTTGAGACAGAGTCTTACTCTGTTGCCAAGCTGGAGTACAGTGGTGAGATCTCAGCTCAACCATACCCTCCGCCTCCCGGGTTCAAGTGAGTCTCTTGCCTCAACCTCCCAATTACCTGGGACTACAAGCACATGCCACCACACTCAGCTAATATTTTTGTATTTTTGGAGAGATGGGGTTTTGCCATGTTGGCCAGACTGGTCTCAAATTCCTGACCTCAGGTGATCCGCCCTCTTTGGCCTCCCAAACTACTGGGATTATAGGCATGAGCCACCACCACCTGGCCAGACATACTATTCTTTTTTCTGTTTTTTTTCCCCCCTTTTTGTCAGATCTAACAGTGGGAACATACTATTCTTTTATTCAAGTATTTTTTTCTCTAAGGAAACCGAAACAATTTACAGGATAATAAGTAACATTTTTCTGGGAAGATGTAGTAGTTGTTTATGACTCATTTATTCACTCAAGTGGCTGTTACACTACAGGTACTGCTGGTGCCTGGGACTGCCCCGATAGACAAGGAAGTGATAAATTCTAAGAAGAAAAATAAAGCAAGATAAGGGGATAAAAAATAGTGGAATGGTTAGAGAGGAAGGATTTGATTATTCTAAAAACAAGCATATCTCAGAGATTTTTCAGGTTTGTTTCCAGGCTATAGTGATAAAGCTAATATTCAGTAAAGTGAGTCATAGAAATCTTTTGGCTTCCCAGTGCATATAAAAGTTATGTTTATACTATAACATAGTCTGTTAAGTGTACAATAGCATTGTGTCTAAAAAAAATGTATATGCCTTAATTTTTTTTTTTTTTTTTTTGAGACGGAGTTTCGCTCTTGTTACCCAGGCTGGAATGCAATGGCACAATCTTGGCTCATTGCAACCTCCGCCTCCTGGGTTCAGGCAATTCTCCTGCCTCAGCCTCCTGAATAGCTGGGATTATAGGCACGCGCCACCGTGCCCAGCTAATTTTTTGTATTTTTAGTAGAGATAGGGTTTTACCATGTTGGCCAGGCTAGTCTTGAACTCCTGACCTCCGGTAATCCACCCACCTTGGCCTCCTACAATGCTGGGATTACAGGCATGAGCCACCGTGCCCAGCATGAGATATATTTCCTGAATAATAAGACATGAAAGTCAGAATTACTCCTTAATCCGTGGGCTGCTGCATGGACGCAGTGTTATCAGGAACGAAATCATCTCCAGTCTTCTCATATGTCTCCATCAAAGCTCTTGGGTGACTCGGTGTGTTGGCAATAGGCAGCAATATTTTGAAAGGAATCTTTTTCTCTGAGCAGTAAGTCTAAATATTCAGTAAATTCCCATTTAAAAATGGCAAAAGATCTAAATAGACATTTCCCAAATAAGACATACAAATGTTTATTGCAGCACTGTTCACAACAGTCAAGATTTGGAATCAATCTAAGTGTCCATTAACAGATGAATGGGTAAAGAAAATGTGCTATATATACAAAATGGAGGACTATTCAACCATAAAAAAGAATGAGATCCTGTCATTGACAACAATGTGGATGAAACTGGAGGCCATCATGTTAAGCAAAATAAGCCAGGCACAGAAAGGCAAACTTTACATGTTTTACTCATTTATGGGAGCTGAACATTAAAACAATTGAATTTATGGAGATAGAGTATATAATGATGATTACTATAGGCTGAGCTGAGTAGTAGAAGTGAGAGGAGTAAGAAGAGGTTCAACTGTTTAAGGAATACATCC